CCCCTATTTTCGGAAACCCCCAAAACAAAGGGTCCGTCACTCAGCCGGTCTTTAGAGTGCTCCCTTCCGGGCGAGGACAGATGCCATGCGCCTCCGAACCATGAACTCCCCCATGCCCTATTTCTCCAACAAGGAGGGCCTGAGACCTGGCTGCACAGAGATGGACTGAAGGCTGTGGGCTTCAATGTTGCATGGAGCGCTTTTCGGACCAAGCAGCTCCTGGGCGTCGGATGCAACACGTACGAAGATTGGGTTTACGGCACAAGCACAGGATCCTTGAGAATGTTGATACATAGACATTTAGAAACACTGACATACGCACTCGTGCCCAAACAGCCGCCCGAATTCGCTTCAGTGTGCCCCCGAGGTATGGCTTAGAGTGTGGCCTTCAAACGGGCCTCGCCTACTTCAGTGTTTTCAAATTCAACCCTCAGGCGCTTCTTGTCGTTTGCTTGGGTTGACTGAGAGGGAGTGGCTTCCTTAAGGATGCGAGGCGCTCCGCTCCTTTTCTGGGTCTTGGTGGGAGGTGTTGCAGCTTTAGTCAGCACAAGCTTTGGAAGTTTGAGCAGGGCCTCAGAAAGACAGCGTAGGCTCTTGTTACCTGTTAGAGTTTATGCAAGAAGCTTGCAGGTGATGATGGGCTCGGTGCAGGCCCCGGAGCCAACCCAAGCCTGCTACCACCGGAACCACTACTGCGAGGTGGGGTTGGTTTAGGGTCTTAGGGTTTAGGGGTGGTTTGGACATGTTTGGGTCTTGGTGGAGTCCGATATCTTGTAGAGGATAGGAGAAGACTATTCCAGGAAGCCCCTTGCAGTGAAATCATTAGGAGAAGAGACAAAGCAGAAGAGAAGAAGGTGTGCAGTTCTTGCACTTGTGACCCTTGATTAGGTCGACACCCACAGAACTTGTCTCTTCTTGCTCGGCGCATTAATGTTGCAGATGTCATGACACACCTGCTCATGTTTGCAGAGTGTGTGGATCTGTGCATTTTGCGGAGCCTGCGACAAGTGCAACGGGGACGCTAATGAGCCGTGGCCTCTGCTGTCGCCTCCGTCAACACCCGGTCGCAACACCAGACGCTCACAACGGAACCTGAACCCTTAAAACACTTAAGAAGTCTCTTAGCTCATATACAACCCGACTCGCAGGTGTGCCCTACGCCCATGGCGCCTGGTCTTGAGAGAAAACACTACTACACCATCTTCCGGATGGCGAAAGGCATAGCAACTGATGGGCACAGTCGGGGCTTGTGTGCTGCACTTGATGATTTGAAGACGGCTACATGGCATTACGTGAGAGGGTTAGAATGTCTTTCTAATGTCTCACGAACACGTGCTGTTAAGTTACGGAACCTCGCAGTATGACCATTCGAGGGCGGACTCAATCTCGCCCGCTCTTCGACAAATCCTTCAAGTGCTTTCGAATTTCGAAGTCCTTTGGTTAGGCTTGGCGCAGGTCTTCTCAGAAAGACGTAATCGTGCCGCATCCGCAACACGACCCCCGTCCAAGTGTCCTGAACCCTCAGCGTTGTTGGATTCAACGCACCGAGACCCGCTGCAGTCCGACGTGTTTCGGGTAGTGTTGGCAACGACAGGCCAGCAGACGCAGAACCCGAACGCTGTGGGACTGGTCTACAACGCCTACGTGAAGGTGCTCTTTGTAGCTCCAGGGAGAGCCACAGTGTGTAACTGTAACAAACAATTTCATCTACAGCCGCGTGGTCAAGGCGTCTTGAGTCAGTCTCTATTGGCTTTTGCTTCTAGGGAGTAAGACCCTTGGCAGGTGTTGCATTTGCAGAGCGATGTAGAGCCATTTGTTTTCTTTCTTGACGTTCTGGCCCGTCACGCATATCTTAGAAGCAGCTGCAAACGTCACAATGCTGCGCAGGCTGCTGCTGCAAAGCACGTTGCTGAGTGGGGCGATGATTTTCGACAATGGTAGATCCCTGCGACAAGCTGTGGGCAGAACCCTGGCCGTCACGGCTATCACAGCCGTGGCCCTTGCAGACATTCCTGGGCTGTCCGCAGGTTCTCCCAAAGCTCGCGCATACTGTAACTTCCAACACCAAAGCCTCATGGGCATGAAATCCAAAACATGCGCATCTTTTCTCAAAGCCACAGCAGGGCAACTTGATCGCCAGCTATTACCCCCTCCAGTCCCCAAGCATGCATGCGCCTGCGCGCGCTTCTGGAGATGTCGAGAGAGGAAGTCATGGCTGGTCTTCCGCTGTTGCGCATAAGATTTGGCACGGCAACTGGTGTCACAAAAAAGGAGTGCAAATTGCTCGTATACACGGTGAACCCTGAGTCGTGGCTAGCAATGGGGTTTTGGGGTTGCAGCATGTGGCTTGGGGACTTGAACCCGGTAATTGGTAAAGCTGCCCGTTATCGGTATTCCTGAGTCTGCACTCAAGGCGTTCACTTCGACTGCCCTTGCGACTGGCTTGTGCACAGGAAGGCAAACACATACAATGTAGCTACTTTACCCCCCCCCCCCCCCCAACAACAGCACAACAGCCGCAAGTAGCATCTCAAGGTTTAGCAGTTCAGCCGGCTTGTAAACCGCCGTCTGAGTGAACCCTGCGGCCCCGAAAAACCATAAGTCCGAAGTCCAAAGCTGTCAGATTTCTTAATTGCAGCTCTTATTTCCGACGCTTCAGACACAAGGCTTCGCTGCTGGGCCTCTTGGATGCGCCTCAGTTCCACCTTTTTCCGCCTCCCTTCCTGGAGCTCCCACGTTTTGCAGTGTATATATCTTATAGTATAGTCTATATACTCAAAAAACAGCGTGGCAGACTACTGTAGTAGTTATATAGGTAGAGTACCTCGGGTAGCTGCAGGCAAAGCCCCCAGCAAGCTCCGCATCTACGATCCCTTCTACTGCGCTGGCGCGGTGGTGAAACATCTGGGAGAGCTGGGCTTCCCCCATGTCTACAACAAATGTGAGGACGATAGGGTTTTAGGGTTTAGGGTTTAGGGTGGTGCTCATCTGCGGCATGGTTCGGTAGGCGCACATGCATTGACCTCTCTGAGCCCTCACTTGCCCCGATCTCAAAGTTGGCTACAGCATCAAAGCCGTGCTAAGTGTGTGACCCTGAACTCCTACATCAGCTCTGCAACCAACAACCAAGCCCGGACTCCAAAATCTATATTACATGATGTACCTGTAAATCTCAGGACTTCTACGCGGTGAATGAAGAGGGGCGTGTCAGGAGCTGAGCGACACCGACTCATGATAACCGAAGCATTGTTGGCATTCACTGTGCTGTTGTAGGGACGTGCGTACTATTGCCACTATTGTTCCTGCATGACCAGATGACGATCGACATGGCAATGACTGATGATGATGGTGATGCTCTTTGTTGATGGGCATGGCGATGGACCTGGCAGCGATGTTTAATCTTCACAACTTATCTTGTTCGTAGCTGTAGATGTTGGCATTGAGCTGCATGTAGTTGCAGCTGCTGCTGGTGATATGGTGAATGGTTTTCCATTCGATGCTGATGCTGGTGCCGTTTCAGTTGTGGTTGTCGCCGACATGTCCGTCGCAGCCGCCGTCCTGGCGGTCTCGTGGTTCTGGTGGCTGCTGCTGCTGCTGTTGCCGCTGCTGCTGCTGCTGCCGCTGCTGCTGCTGCTGCTGCTGCTGTTGCAACTGCTGTTGGTGCTGTTGGTGCTGGTGTTGTCGTTGTCGCTGTTGCTGCTACCTTTGTTGTTGCTGTTGTTGTGGTGTTGATAGCTGGTTGTTGGTTGTTGTTGATTTGGCAGCAGCAGCTGCTGCTGCCGTGTCGCCGCCGGCACCGGTGCTGGTTTTGCTTTGCTTGCTATCATCGTCGACGTTGCATCTCGTGGAAGGGTTGGATGCCGCATGGTTTTTGCGACTTGTTAATTTACCTCTTGTTCTTGGCCAGTTTGGGATGAGCCTCAACATTCACTTCAGTCTTAGACAGGGCCGTAGCAAAGTCATCTGCAGCTACAGTATGATCTCAGCGGTTCAGAGTCAGCACAGCGTTGTAGCAACTGTCGCTTGAATCGTGCAGGCGGGTGTAAGTCACGAGGCATTTAGTCCGCTTTTGTCGGTCAGGTCCCCAAGCATGACGTCCTGCTGACGAATCCTCCTTACAGCGGCGAACATGTCGAGTATCTTCTTCGGTTCTGTCGCTACCTGGATGGCTACTGCACAGGTATCTGCAGGAGAAGGTTGCCAAAGCAGCGCAATGGGTTCTGAATATATGGTTTTCGTCCAAGATTTGAAAAAAACACAGAGGCTTCTAGCGAATACTATCCACTATCCATCCGTTACTGCAGTCGCAATTGTGGCCGAGATGCAATCTTGCGACGTGTCATCGCAAGGTTCGAACGCAAAGCCGTTCCTGTTGCTGATGCCCAACTACTTCTGTGCCTTGGAAAATCATGCGCAGCATTTAATTCTTGCTTGTGTTTCTGATGCGGAACGTGGAAGGGCGTTAATAGAAGATCAACACATGCATAGCCGTCCTTATGTCAAGGGTTTCCGTGCGCGTGGGCAGCATGAATGTATGTCAGCAGCACGACTGACCCACTGTGTCTTCGTGTTTTGTTCCTAGTGCTCGATGCTTGCAGGCTCCAAGGACTTCTATGACGATGCTTTGGGAGGCACTTCCCAGTCCGTGCTGCTATGGAGTGTTTCAGAAAACGTTTTTTTGTTGAACGGCATTTGCGCTGACTGTCGTAGCTTCACCGGGTCTTGGGCTTTCGGTATCAACTTGTGTCTAAGCATGAAGTTGCGCTTGCTTTTGCGTTTGAGCCAAGGCTGTACTTGTGTCCCCGCAACCTGGCGATCCTGGAGCATATTGCGTTTAGTCCCCTGAAGCAGTCTGCCCTGTGTTGCTCTACGACTCTCTGGTACCTCTAGCTGCCTGCCAGTGCATCTGAGGCAAGCGATACTTCTACTGGACACCGAAAGGGTTGCGCACGCGGTCGAAGGTCCAGTCGCAGCATGCCGGAGAAGGAGGCGACTTCACAACACTTATTTAGTTTAGATGTGGTGGCTGCTTGGTGCAAGCAGCTGTGTGCCCATGAGGCAACAGAACTTCGCCATTCATCAGCTTCTGGTACATCGACCTATCGCCGCTGATGTCTGCAAAGGCTCTGATGCGGTGGTGGCAGGACCCGCTGACCCGCTCAGAGTTCTTTCGAGTCTCATGCCTCCCCTCCTTTTCACTGCTCTCTGCTTTCCTGTTGAGCTCTTCCCAGAGAACCCAATATCCCTTAATGCAGGAATATACCTTAAACCATAATACTAAGGCCCCTATAATTTAAGGTATACATTCCTTACTTAAAGGGGTATTGGGCCCTCTGCTCTTCCTCTGCTTTAAAGTCCCAGGAGACCAGGGCAGGCGAAGGGTCGAAGCTTTGTGACCTGGACTGTCAAGCTGACCTTTTGGGGTTTAGGGTTTTAGGGTTTTAGGGTTTAGGGTTTCGGGTTTTAGGGTTTTAGGGTTTAGGTTGGTGTGTGGGGGGGTTCCCGGGGTTGCCGAAAATGGGGACCCTAATATAGTACCCCAAGTAGTAGGATCCTTATTATAAGGGCCCCAAAATAAGGTACGTCTGTGGGGGGGTTGCCGAAAATAGGGGATCCTAATTACTAATATAGTACCCCAAGTAGCAGGATCTAAAATAAGGTACCCCCTTCTTTTCGAATACTCCCGTGTAAGTAGAAAAGTCGTGAGAAGGCGACAGAAGAAGCGGATGATTCCAGATAGAGTCGAGGCAGAACTCTTTCAGCTGTTGGCATACCAAGGTGAGGGAGGATAAAAGCCACCGAGAGCATATTTTGAAGTAGATGCGCCCTTACTTTGAGAGCAATCGATCTCTTGTAAAACGATAAGAGTAAAAATCGATAACGAAGGTTCGTAAAATTTAGCGCAGATCATACAGTCCCAAAGTCTGTAAAACGAAAAGAGTAAAATAAAGCGATAACCAGGAGCATGTTAAGGGGCTCTAACATGGGTGGGTTTTTTTACGCACCCTCAGGTGAAGTCGTTCCTGATTACAACCTCCTCCAAACCACACTGAGCCCTACACTGAAGGGCTTTCCTAATTTGGTGCTGGCAAGGTCGGCGTCCTGACCTGCCGAGAAGTTGCCAGCCCTGAGCGGGAGACAGAAAAAGCTCACAGAGTGCAGCGTTAGCCTTCTATCATACAAAATATATTATGATACGAGCGACGGCTTTCGCATGAGCACTGTTGATAGTCTACAGGTGGCTGTATATGTCATGTCGAAACTCGCTCTAGAGTGTTCATGACCCGGTTCAGCTCTGACTCTATCTAGAATCTAATTCAACTCGAAGCCCGCGTGTTGTCACACGGAGACCTCTGGACCTGCACACACCAGCCTCGCTCCAAAACCGTTCGACATCACCACCACCGCCGCCACCAATGATGATAACGGTCACAACAGCAAGAACGACAAGAGCCAGCAAAACAAGATGAACAACAACAGCAGCAGCAGCAAAAGCAAGAGCTCCAACTGCATGGGCCCAGGGGGATGGCAGAATATGTGGGCGATGTGGATGAAGAGACCAAGGCCAAGGTGCGCAAGTTGGCTTCAAGCTTCGGGGCTGGCAGGTTGGGTCTTCGCTTGGTTGTTCCTGAAACCTCGTAAATTTTTACGTTAGATTCCCGAACCAACCCCAAGGATTATTCAAAATGATCCGGGAGGCAAGGCGGAGCCGTAGCATGGGTCAAAGAGAGAAGCAAGATGCAGCCACGGGAGGTGAGGGGTATGTGCGAAGCACACTGGCTGTGATAACTTCGGGCTTGGTATAGCGACTTAGCATGTCACCATGGACAGCGGCACAATATGGAATCAGCACCAGCACTATGAAACTGGCATGAACTGATCAATGCATCTGTGAACCCTCGTACACTTATGGAACAAGCTTAGATGGAGTTTCATGACAGTATGACACAGGCATGCATGGCATGCACCATGGAATTTGCAACTGCCCAGAAGCGGCCAACTCGACTTCGCTGGAAACAGCGCAACCTTGGAGTGTTTGCAAACCGTATCGATATCATACTAGCTACTAGGGCCTAGAGTAAGGAGTTTAAGGTATACGCAACACCCTGCACACAAGCACGAGTTGTTTTACGATGTGGCAGGGAAGGCAGCATCGCAGCATCAGTGGTGCTAGTCGTAGCCACTATCACAAGCATTTATAGTCCGAATGACAAGAACAAACCATGACCCCCTAGGGTCATGAGAGTTCAGGGTTTAGGGATTACTCTATTCAGCTCAGGGTCTAGACCCTGTGTATTATTTGGCGGCCTTTGGCTCCGGGATGACCGCTAACCCCATACAATGAACCCTGGATTTATCGGGTTTAGGGTTTTAGGGTTTAGGGTTTTAGGTTTTTAGGGTTTAGGCTTTAGGGCTTTAGGGTTTAGGGTTTAGGGTCCTTTCTGTTAAGAGGTGGCCCAAGAGGCAGGCTACCCTCTCAGTGTCTTCGACAAGCCGTGGCCACAGAGTGTTGTTCTTTGGACGGTTTAGGGCTCGAAGGGAGATTTGACCAAGGGTTTGTTGGATTTGGAACGTCTAGTCACTGAAACTTTCCGTCACAGAGCTTAAAATCCCAAGACTTAATACATATATGTATATACTATAGTGCATGTGTATATATATATATACATGTATATGTATATACTTGATTATATTTATAATATATAATGGATAAATGAATAAAAAAATATAAATATATATATATATATATATTTATTTATACATGTAGATCATGTGTATGTAAATATACTCAGATTTACTTTAAACAGCTGTCCTAAGCTCGAAACCTGAAGGAATCCCCGAGGCCGAAGCCCACGCTCAACGACGCGGCTATTCGAGCTGCTGCCGCGGAGGAGCAGACGCGAGGGAGTTTCGAAGCCAAAAAGAAGAGAGCAGAGGGTTACTGGGAGTCCCACCCGGTTGTTGTTTCGAGTCGCCCCAGCGTCTCCCTCTCCTTCCCCCTCTCGCTCGCTCGCTCGCGCTGTCTTTCTCTCTCTCTCTCTCTCTCTCTCTCTCGCTGAATCTCTCCCGTCCAGAACTCAATACTTGCCGACATTCGAGGCCAGAGGGAGCGCAGAGATGGCGGCAGGCTTTCTCCACTTCTCCGCACCCTCCGCATGAATAGGTTACATCAACTTGCGATACCATGTGGCCGCAGGAGTGCTGCTGCACAATGCCCGTGGCATGATATGCGGCACATATGTTTTTTCCTACCGACCGGTGTTGAAGTTAATGCTACTGATTTTGCTGTTAGTATTGTCGTGTGATTCTTCAGTAGTACAAACGAGTTTCTTGTGCTACGGTGTTTGTTGCTGATGTTGTTACTGTTTAGGTCTCAGCTATGACCACTGGCCTGAAGCCCCCTAAACCCCAAACGTACCTAAATGCCCTGAGCCCTTTGGCCTCTTCGGTGCAGGATTGGTTCAGCACGAAAGCAAAGCCTCCGACCAAAGGCCTTCTCTTGGTGCTGATAATCCCAGGGCAGCTTTGAATCGTGAGCCATGGGAGCAATGGAAACCGTAAATGTTAAAGCAGCAAAAGTAGGGAAACTGGAGTTGAGTAGTCGTTGCAGTGCTCAACTCCTTCATCTCATCTTCTTGACCACAGGCGCAGAGGACGCAGAGGCTGGCAAGATGCCTCCCGAGGAGCCGGTTTCTTGGTTATGAACAATTGGGTTTGAGATGAGAAGTGGTTCGAGGACCTTTGATTTGTGTTTGTGTCTGGTGCACGGGCTCATAATAAGTTGTCCCTTGACCTCAGGTTTAGTGTACACAAGAAACATCAGCCCTTTCCTAATTTCTCGAAGGCCCAATCGCAAAGACTGTCTGCATCCTGACCCATAGGTCTAGATTGTAGATGCATCGCTTAGCAGGCTCATCCCGAATCTTTGCGACACTGAATAGCTGCAGGAGACCGGGCTTCGCAAAGACGGTGTGGGGCCTAGCTTTGGGAGCGTCTAGTTGAAGACAATCACTGTCCCCACACCAAACCCAAATCGACACCGCAAGATGAAAGAACGTTCTCGCACCCTGATCTAGAGGCCAAAGCTCCAAAGCTACTTGCCGACATCTGTAGCAAACTCGTCAAGATGAAAGCCGTTGCTGATGAGCACACGGTGACTTTACTCTACAGCCGCCAGTACAGCGAATCGGAAAGTTCTCCTGCCAGCTTTTGTCTCGCAACTCGCGTCACAAGCATTTCAGAGCCAACCAGCACAACATAGAAGCCTGAATATTTATTGATATTTTTTCTGCCTTGCAGCCGGGTTCCTCATGAGAGGTATACATGCTCTCATACCCCCCAAACTCTATTCAAGGTCCCTACGTTGTCGGCCTTTCGTCGTGAGCTTTCCTGCATGGGGCAGATTCTGTTCAAATACCTCGAAGCACCGGGTTTTGGTGTGGTATAGGGGCCAGCTATTGGACTGACTAGGGCTCTGGGGCATGTTACACAAAAGTCCTATGATAGGAACCCGAAGGAGAAGTGTTTGTAAGGATTCAGGCTTCTAGCTTATGTATGTCATGTTCTGAGGTGGCACAGTGCTGAAGTGTTTGGATGGACTGGACTGGGAGCTGATCCAGGACGAGGACGGAAACACTTGCTTCTGTCTCGAGTCTGCTGCAAATGATCGCAGCCTGACGGGAAGTCTCCTCAGCCACAGTGGCCAGCGCCCTCCTATCCGGCTTGGAACAGACGGTCTGTTGTTTCTCATTCTGTCCATCGAAGCATATCCGAGAGAGCATCTGTCGGGTGCGAGGCAGGTTTCAGTACAGGGGTTCAATCGGAACGCAAAGCAGCTATCTACCCCCGAGCGTGGCTTTCTGATTTCCGCCAGATAGAGCATTGCATGGCACTGCGCGACAGCGCAGGTTACTCATGCTCTATGCATACAGTATCTATATCGATATCTAAGTCTTCATGTACATCTATGTCGGTTATATTATATATACACACAAGAGAGATGTTTCTAACTGATATATATATATATATGTATACATCTATCTATATATATATAGAGAGAGAGTATTTTGCATACGATGCCTAAGTTATTGACAAGCCAGGCGAGCCTGGCCGTGAACGTGACCTTCAGCGACGAGCTTTGGTTTCGGCTCTGCGGGGCCGGGACCCACAGCATGCCAATTGAATCCTATAGGGTTTGGGGTTTAGGTTCCCTGAATGATATAATATAGGTACATATAGTAACGCTAGAAGATAGCCGTAACTATGGTTAGGATAGAGTTATCATGGCCCTTTGCCACTCTTTGGTGTTCGTGAGTCTTCTGATAGGTCGTTGTTGCCGCCATCAGGTCCTCAAGTTTGGAATTCAATTGCTGCAGCTCGGGGATTTCAGGAAGAGTTGTCACGCAGATGACCACGGGGCTGCGTATGTTCCTTGCTTTTGTTGGAAGGTCTTGGATTTTCCGGTGCTTCATGCATTCAGCTATGGGTGTATAGGGGTAACATTTAGAATCGGGCTCTTCAGGTTGTCATTATACTATAATATAATAGGAAGGAATTATATCAGTAATTGTTCTGGGTTACACCACGTTCAGTCTGGCCAGCCTTGGAGGTTACTGGCTACTCGGCATTCAAGGAGGCCGTCAGCTTTGAGCTTGCCGAAAAGGAGTTGACGGGGCCTTGGCGCAGGGTTTTGGTGGTTTAATCCATTGGCCTGAATAATGACCAGGATTATTTCTCAGGGTTCCTTGTGGCTATACTATAACATACCCCAAACCGAATTCTGGTGTTTTATATATTCGGGCACTTGAGTCGCTCAAGTCTTAAGTACCTCAGTTGCTGTGAGACAGACTCGGGGTGGCAATGGTGAGCCTTAGACCCTAAATCTGCTACGGTGGCTCATACCGTTTATGCCGCACTACCTGACATCCAGCTGCATTCAGCGTTTAAAATTACAATGCCCTGGACCCTGTGACGGTTTTTGCATCTGCAGATGACTAATAGCTGTTTGACTCATGGTCCTTTCTTGGATCGCTTCTCGAGTTTGCACTGTGATACTTGCTCAAGATGTCCAGAGCATCCAATAATGTAGGACAGTTTCAGATTCCTGCCACTTCGAACTTGTGGCTCGAAACTCTTTGATAAGGAGAGAGAGAGAAGGGCAAGAGAGATCGACACCCTTTCCGGGCGGGTACTTTTCCCAAAACACCGCTTGTAAGAGCCGTGTAGAACAAATTCTGAAGCTCAGGCGAGTGCTGCATGCCGGCGCCGCCGTTCGCCCAGCCAAAACCTTTTGAGAGTCGGGAGTCGGAGTGTCAAGAGTCCTGGTTTGATGTTCATCCAGCGAACGAAATGCCCTGAATTCCTTACTTCTTGATTGCAGCTATGTCTTGTCTGGCCTCGACCAGCCATACAAATGTGCAGCCCGTGCTCACCAGGTCGTGCTGGATTTGCAGCTGCCTGCTCCTGTGGCCTTCGCCTGAGAGTCTGTGCTCGCGCTGATTTGTTGAGAAGCTACGATGTGCTAGAGTACACAATAGACGAGACTACAATGTAATATGCTAATGCTATACTACTCAGCTCCCATGTTGGATTTCGTTGGAGTTGCTGAACGAGACAGCTTAAGTGGTTGCCATACATGATATGTACAATTCCGCACCGAAGTGTTCGATGCTAACCGTGCGGCTAGGGCACAGAAAAATCTCAGTCAATAGGAAGACCCTTGAACTCCAGATTCAGTTTGCCGGGCTTCCGGTTGATGCGTATAGGTTCTCACCGTTTGCACCCAGCTCGCCTCACTGAATTGCAGGATGCGAAGGGAGCTTCAGCCAGCGTCAGCAGCCGCAAGATGCGCGTTGCTGTCAAGGCGCGCGGTATGCGAGTGGCATGCGAATTGTGTAGACCTTTCCCCGTGTCCCTTACTACAAGTAGATCGATATTCTTCATGAGGAAACGGCAAAGGGGTAGCAAGACCAAATCATGAGAGTCACACGGATGCAAGATTTGCCGCTGCAACCTCTGGCACACAGCGAGTGCCGCCTGTGACTGGAAGCAAGATTTAGAGTTCAGATTGCCGTCTCGAATGCCGAGAAACTATAAGTTTCATTAATGCGTGCATACACATACATGTATATATATATATACACATACGTATGTATGTATACATATACGTATGTATGTATACACGCATGACCTAATCGAATCTCATCACATCTAGCCATCTAGCTGCTTATAGTGCACATGTACATGTATATATGTATGTGTACATACATACATATACATATACA